GCTGGATACAGTAATTTTGACTAAGGCCGTCTCTGTACTATGGGAAACTACACATAAAACTACACATAATTCAGCATGAATGACACAGGAAATGGAAATATTTCAACCCTGTCCTCAAATGTTCCTTGTGGTATATAAAACACTGAATGGCCTGAACAGCGCCACTTGGGACTTGCTTTACTTTCTCTGATCCTGTCCTATCTTATTTACAACTCTGAATGTTATCGAGATCAAGTACCAGATCATTTGAGCGTTGTGCTAGTTTTACTATGATTGTATCTTGCAAGATCTAGTTTGGGGTTCTTAATTTCATAGTTAACTAAGCGCTTTATCTGACAGTCTAAGCTGGAATCATTCACAATCTTTCAGCAAAGCCTGAGACATAGCCAATGCTCAAAGTTTCACACAAGCAGTGCTACAAACATTGATGAACAGACAGACCACAGAGACCTTTCAAGCCTCTTGCAACTCTTAAGCATTGCAGTGGGACTCCGGGTCAGCTTTAAGCTTAAAATTTTCACCATATCTTAATTTAATCTACAGGTGAAGAATTTGATACCAACAGTACAGTAGCACCCTCCAGGACCCCCACCAAAAAAAAAGGTTTGGAAAATGATGCTCAGAGTCTCCACTATCCCTCCCTCGCTCCCTCTCTTGCTGACTTCCCTTAGCATTCCGGGGTCCAAGGAGAGCTGTCCACACAGTTAGATGTTCAGTGACCCGTACCCTTAAGTTATTGCAGCAGGAAGCAGCTTCTTTGGGGTCTCTTTATAACTGGTGCAGGAAGTTGTCACTCTCTCCAGTGGGCACTTGTTCATCTCGAAAGCCACCTCACATCACAGGACGTTAAGGAATTTCTCAATTCCAAACCAACAGCTTTAGTTTCTTTGACTAATCAATTCTAGTTCCTCCTGTGCTGAAAGCTGAAACTCACGCTGGGATACGAGTGTCTGTTAATACAAGCATGTGGAGCCCTGTAGCGTATTGGTTATAGCACTCACTTCGCAAGCGAGAGGGCCTGGGTTCAATTCCCGGGTGGGGAAAAAACTTAGGCAAGTTTCCTTACTCCACACACCTCTGTTTACCTCACAGTAAGTTGGGACCAGTTGGCAGATCGCTTTCCAGGGGTAATTATCCCTCAAAAAAAATGTGGTCACTCAATCCACGACTATCTGTAGGACACTGCTGTGTGCAATTGGCTGCTTCGTTTAGCCCAGGAAACATAGTCAATTCACTTACAGTATATTCTGCGAAATGCTTTTGAGACATCCCAATGACATGATAAGGAACTATATCAAATGCAAGGATATTTTTATTATTATATTATAAAATATTTATTATCTTAGCATGGGTGTCTGTTGATAAACTCTCCTCAACCTTCTTCCACCTCCACCTCCACCCACCCTATTATCAGTCCGGAATGTGTGTTTTGTTTTGTTTGTCTCGTTTAAAACCTGGAGTGTTTTTAAGGCATATTAAGAGATGTTATAAATACATTTCCTCCCTCCGTGCTACGTTTTTAGACCTGCGTGCAATGGCGTAAAGGCCCCCTGAATGACGTGTGAAGGGAAGCGTTGTGAAAGGAAGAGATCATGAATACAGAAGGGTTCCAAGAGCTACAATATCGCTCCAGGGTAACATTCCTGAGCCTGCAAAAGCTCTGCTTCTTTGTCAACAGATAACTTGCCAAAAAGACAGCCAGTAAGCAGTGCAGGGGAGCTCCACGAGGTTCTGGAGATTTCGGCCTGCCTGGTTATGCTATTGCCTTTTTAACTACAGGGTCCCGAGACTGAGCCAATCTGACACCAGTTTAGATCTCCTGGCTGTGCTGTGTTATTAGATCCCAGGTGGGTATAGGGGTAGGCTTGCTACCAATTGGCTCAGTGACCTGGACTAGGCATGATGATGAGGAGGTGTATGTGTGTGCGTGTGCGAGTGAAGGGAGTGGGGGAAGGGAAGACAGCGTGCCAGTGCACCTACTCCTAACCAGTGGACTGGCTCCCCAAAAGGGCTCGGGATTTTTAGTAAAATGGGTACAGCAATTCAGCATTATATTAAAAAAAATCACTCAATCCACGACTGTTCGTGGGACACTGCTGTGTGCATTTGGCTGCCGTGTTGAGTCAATCCACTTTACAATATGTTGTGTGAAGCGGTTTGAGACGCCTCAAGCAAAGGGATTATTCTAATTATAAATTTTGCATTCAAAAACTTTGTTGGAGCTTAAATAGGAGGACGGGATCCAGGTGATGATTGGCTATCGTAGCTGTCACTCATCAGGGTGGGGTGGTTCTGGGCGATGATTTGCTGCTCTGAGCTGTCACTCGCTCGGATGTCTGGCTGTGGGGTGGTGAGTATCAGGTTTAGAACATTGTAAACATCTCAAACCACTGAACGAGAGTAGTGACTGTTTTTGCACCTAAATGTACAGTAGCCATTTTAATAAAACAATAATAATCCTTGCATTTGACATTGCGCCGTATCACATTGTTGGGATGTCTCAAAGCTTTACACAAGATTTACAGTAAAGTGTAGTGACTTGAGTATTTGTGGCAGATGATTTGCAAAGAGCCATGAAGTGAATGACTAATTTATCTGGGGGTGGGGGGGGGTGTGGGGGTGTGTGGAAGTACACAGCAAGATCCCCAAACAGTCAGTCTGTCAGGAATGTCCCAGGATAACTGATAAGAGATTCCTCCGATAACGAGTCGGTGCAGAGTGAGGGGTGAGAAAGACGGGGACAGAGAGAAAACTGCCCAGCCAACCTTCATTTGTACCAACTGTACAATTAGTCCTCTTACTCAACCCAGCAGTCGGATCATATCTTCAGCTATTTGGCTCAGTACAAGTAAAAGTCTAGAATGCGTGATAAGAACAACATGCGCACCAGACTGAAGACACAGAACAGCACACTCTCTTTCAGGTCTACTTACTACAGCCAACTGACTGCTCTAGTCCTCCAAGGTAATGAATAATCCTTATGCTTCACGTGGGCACCTTTCACGTCCAGATGACATCCTAAATCAATTAACGGGTTTTACTGTGAAGTGTAGTGACCGTATATTTTATAGACAAATGCGTCCAACCAATGAGGTTGTGTGTACTGTCATCAGTAGTGTCCAAGAGTATTGCGGACTTGCCTGGCTCAGGATCTAGACCACCGAGTTCGCCCCACTGGATCGCTTCAATTCTCGATAGTGCCTTGCCAGGAAAGTCACACCAGACCCTGCTTACCTCCTCTTACCTTCTCCCCCCCTCCATCCCCCCACCCCCCCACCAGAGGATCACAAGTCAAACCCTCACAAAGTCTCTCCATTGAACGGCTAGTGTGCAACAGCTTAGAATTTAACACTGAGAGGATTTATGAACATAAATAAAAAATTGAATTTAATGTAACTTCCCTTTTGACGTCCAGCTTCCAAGAGACGTGTAAAAATACATTTGTTTCAGGAAGTTAAATTGAAGCTGATATACATTTAGAGGCTGCGTTTCCTGTCAATGCATACAGAATTTAGCAAGTGGCTCTCACAAACTCTTCCACCTTGTCTCAAGGGCAAGACTTAAGACATGGATTCTGAACTGACTGAAGGGAAGCACACAGAGGATAGTTGTTTGAGAAACAAGATCAAAATGCAGGGTGGGCTATTTAAGTGGGTTACCTTAGAGCTCTGTACTGGGACCCTTCCTGTTCTTTGTATATTATAATAATCGTTGCATTTGATATGGTGCCTTTTCACATTGTTGAGATGACCCAAAGCGCTTCACAGAATATATTGCAAAGTGGATTGACTGTATTTTGTGAGCGAAATTAGGCAGCCAATTATGCACAGCAGTATCCCACAAACAGTCGTGGATTGAGTAACCAAATTATTGTGGGGGGAGGGATTATAATAATAATAATAATCCTTGCATTTGATATAGCGCTTTTCACGTCGGGAGGACGTCCCAAAGCGCTTCACAGAACACACTGTAAAGTGAATTGACTGTATATTTGTGGGCGAACGCGGCAGCCAATTGCCCACAGCAATGTCCCACAAACAGTCGTAGATTGAAAATGACCAATTTTATTATTGTTTTTGGTTTTGGAGAGATTATTATTAGGCGTGTGGAGTAAGGAAACTTGCCCAAGGTTTCGCCCTCTGCCTGGAATTGAACTCAGGTCTCTCGCTTGCAAAGCGAGTGCTCTAACCACTGAGCTACAGGACTTTTTTTGCTACCCAGGTAGCAAAAAAAGGTGGAAAAAGAATAACATACTTTATTTAATAATATATAAAATATATAATGATGACCTGGATGTAAGTAGTTACATTTGCAGATGACACAAAATTATGGATTCAGAAGCGGCAGCAAAGGTCTTATAAGGAGAGTATCATACAAGGAGTGTGTCCGAAAGGCACTCTTGCCTTTGAGTCAAAAGGTTATGGGTTTAAACCCCACATTGCATTGGGATTTGGAACTCATATAGTCTAAAATGACACTCCATACAATGCTGGGGGTATGCTGCAATGTCAGAGGTGGCGTCCTTCAGGTGGATGTTAAACATCCCAAGGCACTATTTGAAAAGAGAAGGGAGTTTCTCCCAGTGTCCTGGCCAACAATCCCCCAAATAAAATTGGTCACTCACTCCATGGCTGTTTGCGGAACATTGTTGGCGCAAAACTTCTGCCGCATTTCACGCACAAAATACCCAGTCAATCCACTTTGCAATGTATCCTGTGAAACACTTTGGGACGTTCTCCTGATGTGAAAGATGCTATATCAAATAAAGGATTATTATATTAGTATTATCATAGGGTATACATATGAACTGATGACTGGCATATGAAGTCCAATACAGATAAATAACTAATGTAGGAAGAAGAATAAAAGGCGCACATACGCCATAAAACTTTCCAAAAGGGAAGCTGAAAGAGATCTAAGTTAAGTTAACAATAGCACAAAGGTTAGTGTCTTGACTGATTCATTGAACAGTATCGAAGGAGAACACACAACTGACTTACTATTATGTGCTGATAGGGGTCAATAGAGGCCATGCTGAGGTTGCAGCTTAAATTGATCCTAGGATCGGTTCCCAATGACTAATCCTGGGATGCAGACAATGGACGGATGAAGGCGGAATTTCTTTTCGGTTGTAGATTTTCAGCTTAGGCGAATGCATGAAATCACCCTCAGCAAACTCGGAATGTCTCTCTCATTCCTGAAAAAAACACAAACACAACAGTAAACATTAAGCTCGGTCTGTCACCCATTTTTGTCCCTACGGAGTCCCTTCTGCAGGAGGTTCCAGATACATCGGGAACTGTCTGTGGGCCAAACCTAACCCCCAGTGGTGCCAATTGACCTAAAGTGAATGGTGTTAGAAACCAGGTGGAATTCTCCTTTAAGAGGATCTGAATTCTCCATTCAAACACAGTCTGGTGCTCATTCTGAACTGCAATATTAATATCGCACAGCTATGAAGGATGATGAAGCTGTGGTTACCAATAGTAGTCGTAAGACTAAAAGTACATCTCATTCCCTCCCCATATACAAAATATCATCTGTCACCTAATAGAAAATTCACCCCTATATCTGTTTTACACTTTTACACTGTTGTTACTGTAGGTCAATACAGTGAGGATGCAGTGACACTTCCTTGACTGGAAGTGCATCTGACTGGAAACTGAAGGGTTGGAACCCGCAGCCTACATGAGCCTGAATACCGAGTGAGTTACAAGGCACTCACGTCATAGAGCAAATTGCTTTCCATCAGTCTCTGTCGACTTTATCTCTTTCACTCCACCTCTGTGCGCCAAAACTCACAAGCATTTCTGACGTCTAGTCTGGTGACACAGACTGAGGCAGCTTCACTAAGAGTACTGTCTAACATCTTGTGTGGTGTTGAGAGGATAGTCCCAACCCCAGTACCTTCCTGATCATCAGCGAAGTTACAATTTATATGAGGGGAGACTCATATTAACTGTTGCATTTTATACTGTGTCTATAACATTGAATCATTGTAAAGCTATTCAAACGGATTTGCTATCAAGTGCAGTGATTGTGTATTTGTAGGCAGTGTATTTGTAGGCAGCCAATTTGCATACGGATACATACAACAATAACAACTTTCTATTGTATAATGCCCTTCACAAGGGTTAGTGTCTCGAACGCATAACAGTGGCAGAGCTTGATGTTGAACAGCCATGGAGTGAGTGATCAATTGTTTTATCTGGGGAATTGTTGGCCAGAAAACTAGGAGAACCAGCAGCTACAGCAATCACTTCTAGAAGCCAAAGCCTCCCCCTTGACACAACGGGACTGAGATTAATTCAGTCAGGCCAGAGAGAGTTCAGCTACACACTTGCACTAGCTAATCTTAACTCACACACCCAAAGGAGCCCTGTGTTCTGTCTTTAACGAGTGGCAGTGGAAGTGCATTACTTATGGACCATCTATTCGCTCCCTCTGTCACCTCATTTAAGGTCCATCGCGAGACACAACTCTTTGACCGCACTTTTGGTTACCTTTCGCCTTTCCACCCCCATTGGCTTCCACCCCACAACTTGGGTGCCCAGCCAGCATCATTTAACACTTTGAGCCATCCTCCCAATGTGAAACGGGCTTTATAAATGATAATTTGTATTGTAATGTTCCCATATTGGGTGAGAAAATCCAACAATAGGGAGCATGACGAGCTCAAGCTACATGTATGTGAGCACGTTTTAAAATTAGTTTTGTTTCTCCCTCTCTCCAGGGAGGAGTTTCTGTTGTGCATAGATTTTTTTCAAAAAGAAAGAGCAAACAGCAAGAAATGCTATCAATTATTTTACAACAAAGCCATTACATTGTCTTTAAAACAAGGAGAGGGCGGGGGAGTTGGTGTGGGGTGAAGGGAGGGGGAGGGCTGAGGTTCAGACCTTCATTTCCTGGTGGGGTGCATTGCAAAGATTAGTCTGAGTTCTAGGAGGTGAACTTGATGTAAAAGGGGTATATAAAAACAGAGGGGAAATGGGACTGAGTGGATAAAAGCCACAGAGCCAGCCTGTGTTTTATCGAAGCAGAATCCTTAAAAAAATGTATCTAACAAAGCAACAGCTTACATTTATACAGTGCCCTTCACACTGGGTAGTGTCTCGGAGCCCTTCACAGTGGTACAGTTTGATGCTGGGGCGGGGGGGGGGAGAAAGGGGAGGTGACTTAGGCATGGTCGAAGACTGCAAACTGAAGAGGGGTAAAGCGGGGGCAAGGTGAAGGGATTGAGGCAGCGAGTTCCAGAGTTTCGAGACATAGTCGACTCCTCGAGACTCTGTAACTCTCTGCCTCAATCCGACTGCCTTTACCCTCCTTGTCTGTCTTCAGATCACACCTGAAGACAGACACCTTCTTCTTCGACCATGCCTATGGTTACTTCTCCTCTCTCCTCGGCTCGCCATCAGGGTCCGCCACTGTTAAGTGCTCAAAGATGCTACCCTGTTTGAAGGGCGCTCTATAAATGCAACTTGTTGTTGCAGCTGAATGCACGGCAGCTGATGGTGGAGAGGAGGGGTATAACAACAACAACAACAAATTTACATTTATAGAGCACCTTTCACGTCGGGAGGACGTCCTATAGTGCTGAACAGTCAGGTGTTGGGGCCTGAGCATGGGGGAGCGGTGGTGTAGGGTTGAGGGAAGGCAGAGAGGTGGGAGGGAGGCCAAAGGCACTGTCGAAGAGAAGGGTCTTGAGACCGACCTTGAAGGAGGCAAGGGAGGAAGCGAGGCGAAGGGACCGTGCGATGGAGTTCCAGAGTGTAGGGGCAAAGCCCGGCTACCGATGGTAGGGCGGGTCGGGTGGGAGACATGGTGCAGGCCAGAGCCCGATGTGAACGGAGGGAGCGGGCAGGTTGGTAGGGACTAAAAATAGGCTAGAAAAAATAATTTGCGCAGAAGGTGGTCGGAGTGTGGAATTCTCTGCCACAAACTGTTGAAGCAGTTGTTAAATTCTACCAAAAGGGAACTAGATGGATGCTTGACAAAGTGGAATATTGAGGTTGTGGGACTGAGGCCTGAGGAGGGAGGTGGGGAAGTAGGAGAATGAAAGATCAGACTTGGTGGTTCATGTGGAGAAAAAANCACAGGTATAGCATACATGGCAGAGAGCAATAAGTGTACATGACACGTGACACCGAATGGTGGAAATTCATTGCACTTCTGGTTTTCCAACATTGCAACTGAACCCGGAGGGGCTGATTGACATGAGCCACGTGACTCTGAGGCTTGTGGTCACAATAGGGTCCAGGAAACGAGAAAGCTGCAGACTGGATTTGTGCTGAGTCATGGCACTGCACACTTGCCCTGACCAACCTAGGTTTACAAGGCAGCGTCGAGTAGCAACCTGCCTTAGCTGTTCGATCCTTCTCCCTCATTCCCAATTGTAATGAGGCAGGAATAAATAATGGCTGGAGTCATTGAAAAAATAATTGAAGTTTGATTCATTCTGAAATGCAAGAAGGGAATGATAATGCTAATGCTACTACTAATAATAATGATTGCATTTGATACAGCGCCTTATCACACTGTTGAAATGTCTCAAAGAGCTTCACGGAATCCACTGCAAAGTGGGTTGACTGTGTATTTTGTGGGTGAAACATGGCAGCCAATTGCACACAGCAGTGTTCCACAAACAGTAGTGGATTGAGTACCCAAATTTGGCACGATTTGTAAAGAGAAGGTAGTTTCTGGTCAATAATCCCCCAAACTAAAAACAAACAAAAATATTGGTTGTTCATTTCATGGCTGTTTGAGGGATATTGCTGTGTACAAACTGGCTGCTGCTTTTACCTAAAAATTTACAGTCACCAAACTTCACAACAAAATCCAGTGAAGCAATTTGAGATGTCTCAGCATGATTAGGCGTCCTGTAGCTCAGTGGTTGGAGCACTCGCTTTGCAAGTGAGAGACCCGAGTTCAATTCCAGGCAGAGGGCGAAACCTTGGGCAAGTTTCCTTACTCCACACAGAGCCTAATAATAATCCCTCCAAAAAAAAACAATAATAAATTGGTCATTTTCAATCCATGACTGTTTGTGGAACATTGCTGTGTGCAATTGGCTGCCGCGTTTGCCCACAAATATACAGTCAATTCACTTTACAGTATATTCTGTGAAGCGCTTTGGGACATCTAGAAGACGTGAAAAGCGCTATATCAAATGCAAGGATTATTATTATTATTATTATTATTATTATAGGCGCTCCAGCAAATGCAATGATTCTAAATGGGTTGAAAGGGCTTTTTTATCTGAACCTCTCTGTTCATCTGAATCGGTCTCCATAAATTATAACAAACAACAACTGGGATTTATATGCTGTAGCACCCTTCACTCAACATCGTGCTCAGAGCTAAACTAGAGTTACACTGCTGAGAAGGTAGGCTTGCCAGACAGTATTCACAAAGGCAAATCTTGCAGGTTTAGGAGCAGGAGAACAGGAACAAGAGGAAGTTATTGAATCTCATGAGTCTGTTCTGCAAGCCACGTGTCAGTGTCAGATGGTTTAAACTCCAGAAGTTCCCTGTCTGTGTCTGTCTGTCTGTCTGTCTGTCTGTCTCTCTCTCTCTCTCTCTCTGTCTCTCTGTGTCTCACTCTCTCTGTTTGTCTCTCTATACCTCACTCTCTGTCTCAGTGTGTGTCTCTCTCTCTCTGTCTCTCTCCGTGTCTCTCTGTCTCTCTCTTTGTCTCTATACCTCTCTCTGTCTCTCTCTATGTCTCTATATCTCACTCTGTCTGTCTCTCTCTCTCTGTCTCTCTCTCTCTTTGTCTCTATACCTCTCTCTGTCTCTCTCTGTGTCTCTCTCTATGTCTCTATATCTCTCTCTCTGTCTCTCTCTTTCACTCTCTCTGCCTCTCTCTATGTGGACTTTATGGAGTCCTGTAGCTCAGTGGTTAGAGCACTCGCTTTGCAAGCGAGAGACCCGAGTTCAATCCCAGGCAGGTCAGGGTGAAACCTTGGGCAAGTTTCCTTACTCCACACAGGTCTAATAATAATCCCTCCAAAACAAAACAATAATAAATTGGTCATTTTCAATCCACGACTGTTTGTGGGACATTGCTGTGCGCAATTGGCTGCCGCGTTCGCCCACAAATATACAGTCAATTCACTTTGCAGTGTGATCTGTGAAGCGCTTTGGGACGTCCTCCCGACGTGAAAAGCAAGGATTATTATTAACACACACACTAGGATC